CAAACAAGCGTAGGTAGTATAATGGTTATTATCTCGGTTTCCCATCACATGGCCCCGGCCGGGAATCGAACCAAACGCGGTAGCCCTTTCTCCAGGATCCTCTCGCAAACTACTTGGTGTACGCGGACCTATCAGTACTACAGAGCGCTCAAAATTTAGCCACAACTTTGAGAATGCTTAGATATTCAAATAGAGCCGGTGGCGCCCATAGCGTATGCAAGCTCAACCACACATCTCGACCCGCTCCGGTCAGATCGCCAGATCATGTAGAAATAGTTATGATTGCCTACCATAACCTCCCACATCGGATCATTGATATCTGCCCTTCTCTACAGCCTAGTCTTGGCGGACTCTGGCCATAACAACGAGGTATGGTCATATCAGCGCAAGTAAGAGGCATAGATCATGAGTTAGGAACAAGCGTGGGTAGTATAACGGTTATTATCTCGGTTTCCCATCACATGGCTCTGGCTTGCTGGAGATTACCGAGGAACCGGGTTCGACCCCCGGCCTACGCATTGTTTTTTGCTCGGTTAGATCGTCTTTGACTAACCTGTTTGTTGTGGTTGGTTTTTACGGTGCTACATTTACTGACAAGATTTGCTTTGACGGCTTTGGTCAGCTTATTTGAAATTCCCTTGCACCAGAAAAGCTCATACGCCCAGCCATTGCCTAATGTCCTGCTCGATGTGTATGGGCAACCTCAGGAGTGAGTGTGAATGCCGGAGCGCACAAGGAAGAACACTCGACCCACCAGCTGGTCCGCCTGCGGTTCATTCGCCTGCTGGGTTCCGTCTAGCGTATCCCCCAGCCGAGTCTGTCTTGCGCGTATTCGTACCCTGTACAATCATCCATTCAACCCTGCCGGTGAGTCTCACTCCTATCAACATAACCCCCCTTTCAAACCTAACCTCCAAATTAGTCCCCATCCACGCACCTCCGACCCGCACCCAACAAAAGAACGATAAATAGAGCGTGCGGTCCTTACCACCACCCCCGGGCTGAGCAGCCCCTCGCGCCAACTTGGCCGCAAAGCTCGAATGCTCAGCATCGTTAACGCATATAAAACACGGACGTCGTCCGCCAATGCAGATGTACGCCAACGGTGTAGGCGAGGGCGAGAGCGTCATGGCCCACAGCACGGACCTGGGTGTTGAGCACCGCCGTGCCGCTTATGCGCTCAGACCCAAGTCGGATAGAGGGAGAGCCGAGGATGGCGAGCGGGCCGACGCTAAGCGTGGGCATGTGGTTTGTGTATGGATGGACGGATTCGATGAGAACGGTGCGTCCGAGCGATATACGGCGGGAATAGGTGGCGGAGCTGGTGGCACGGGTGCGAGCCAAGTGCGACGACGGGATGGAAGATCGAATCTCAGGGCACTTTCCGAGTGGGAAGGATGACGAGGATGGAGGGCAAGCAATGGCACAGTTTGCAGAACCGACGCCCGCCCCCCAAAGCTACAACCTCCCCGCCGCCAACTCGATAAAAACCTCGCTCGCGCTCCCGGATATGGAACACTAGTGCCCCTTGTACGCCCTCTCGCGCCCGGTCTCCAGCTCGGTTTGAAGGATTCGATGCGGTGGGGAAACGCTGTACGCACTCTCCGCCTTTGGCGTTGCTGCAACGACAATTTCAGGTGCGCTCGCATCATCTTCCGGCCGATATGCAACACGAAGGTGCCTAGGGACTCAAGATATTACCGTTGCCTTTGGAAAACAAATGAAAATCATATTGCGTGGCTTTCAGAGCACAACGGATCAACAAAATCACAAAAGCATATCGCCAATGAAGCGCGTAATGGCCAACATCTTGTCAGCATACGGTTCAACCTCGTGGTGTGGGATCTAAACAACTCATGAGCATGGTCAGGGTGTGAACGAGGGGCCGTACCTTGAATTCATCGGCGAGCTCGAGAATGTCACCCCGATCGAGCGTAGATAAATATCTGATTTGTCGGGCTCGTATCTTGCGGCGATTTCGAGGATGCTCCGTTCTGTCCCTTGCAAACTCATCCCTTCGGCTCTCCAAGCGAAGCTTTTCCGCAAGATCATGGCTTTTCTTCATGTCCAAAAAGGCCTGTTGATCAACACATTCCGGAGAAAGGCAGTGCTCTCGAACGTCGCTAACCGAGCCAAACCTACACTGTATCAATCATAAAACATCGGAAAGAAAGTGCTGTGCATACGTTTGGCTCGAGTCGCAAGCACCTGGGCACTTGAACTTGTTTGGCCCGCATGCCATCTTGTATTTGAGGTCCTTCCAATCGGTGTGTGCATTTCGCCTAGGTGGTATTCAACTTGACGTCCATCGACCCAACATGATCGACTTACATATGCTTCCCGAGGTTTGAGACCTTGGAAAAAATAGTCCAGGTACCTTCGGGTAGGAACTCGCGACATTTAGGGCAAACTAGCTCGCCGCCGTTGGCCTGACACGAATTAAAAGACAAACAGTGCGCATATAGGGAGGGACACACCTCGATCTCCTTCCGAAACTGCTGTTCAAACAGAATCGGGCCGGACACCATCATCATCAGGTAGTGCCGCATATGAACAATGTCGACACCCTCGACAATGCTTGTCGTATCCTCATCCTCCCATACCTCCTCGACCGGTATATCCTCCCCTTGACCATCTTGCTCTGGCGCATCTTGCTGTTCGACCGATGGGTGCTCGTCCTCGGGTAGTTCGTTCGCACTGTCAATCCCCACGCTCTTGGCCGTGTCTTTCAATAGCTTCCGGACCTTGGGGTTTGTATGGCGAGAACAATCTCCTGCCAGGCGTCCAATGTTGTAGTTGAAAGCCGAATTGTAGTTTGAAACTGCAAGTTCGGTCGCCGTATCATCGTCTTCCCGATTCATAGCGCCAAGCTGGTGTTGTTTATCCTGGTAGTCCAAATTTAAATAAGTACGGTCCACCTAGTACGACGGATACGGAACCTTTGAGCTCAACGCCGCTGCCGCCACGAGTTTCGAGGGCTTCGCAATGTGGTCAAGCGCCTTGTTCTTGTCGTGATAACTGTCTTCGTTGTACTTGTTCATCTCGTAGTCCAGTCGCTCTGTCTTGCGCTTTGCAGCTGCACGCGACGTTTTCCGATTCTGGTTCTCCCAGCTGTCAAATGCCAGGCGCAACGTCGTTGCTGTCTGATAGTACATGTTAGCACAATGCTAGCAACAAGCGCCAGACCCACCTGTTTCAGCCTTTTTTCGCTTGGCCTTCGAGAGCTCCGAATACTTGTTGAATTTTTCGATCCTCCCGATGTTTTGCTCTGCTGGCTTGAATTCAGCAGTGGCTGCATACAGTGGACTGCCTCTATCGAGACAATCCAAGTATTGATTCCAGAGCTGTATCACCTCCTTTTTGCATTGAGTGACATGCGGGCATTCCTGTGAAAATAATTAGTGACAGAAGATGGGATAGAACAGAAACTTGCCGCAAGAGCATCCTTTCGCACCTTGCTAATGAGTTGCCTGCGCTCCTTTTTCAAACACGCCACAGCCTTGTCAACTTGCATACATTCCTCCTCATCATCCTCTTCCTGTTCCTTGTCGTCGCTTTGCTCATCTTCATCCCCTTGTCGCTGAGCATATAGAGAAATCGCCTTGGATATCATATTCATCACAGTTCCAGTTCGACGACGAAGCTCAAGCCGGCTCTATAAAACAAGTGAATAGTCACTCGCCGATCAGGCAGATTGAACTTGCCATGGCGCCAGGCAAGAACTCTTCGGAAACTTCACTGGTGCGGACTCCTAGCACGTCGATATTCCCTGGTCCGAAGCTGTACGACTCGGTCGATTCTCGGCCTATGCAATGTTTTATGCCTGCCTAGGTCGCCTTTGACTGACCTATTTGTTGTGGTGACTTTTACGGTACATCTTCTGGCCAAGATTTGTCGGTACTTTGGCCCCCGGAGGCTTAGTGAGCCTATTTGGAATTTCTTGATAGCTAAGCGCCGGTCAAGAGCTTATCCCGCCAGACAACGTCGACCTGACGTCGACCATAGCAATCCCCTCTCTTCTCAATCTTTTGGCCTGGGCTCTCCAATCTTTGAGCTTTTTTGACGCGTCCGGGCATCAAAGTTTAGCTCAAAATCTTTAGCTTGATGCGATCCGAAATTTGGGTTTGAAGCGGAACGCAGAGGCAACCTCAGTGAGTGTCTCTATCGGTTGTTTTGACATATTCCAAGGCTTACACTGAGTACTGTAATTCTCAGGACATAACCTTACAACGCACCTTCCATATCCATTGGTACGTGTCCATTTGCTCCTGCCAACACCTCTTGCGTTTCGCTCACAAAACGCGTCCTGTGACTTTTACAGGCCCTACAATGGCATTTAACTTTACTGCTCCTCGAAAAAGTCTTTTGACACGCGTGCTCCTGGGCGGCGCTGTTGTTTACATCTTCCACACGCTCTTCTTTTCTTCGAACGCCCAACCCCACGAAATTGTCGCGCACAATGTCATCGACCGAGTTACAAACGCGGATCGTACTCTGGATGTGCAACGGCACAAGTTTCTGCAGGCACGACTCGGGCGAGATGAGCGCCCAGACTTGATGAGCAACTGGGTCAGTGATGGCGCCTTGGACTTTTGGCAGCGTTTTCAACTACCGTTGTATGTGATATCTCTCCTTGCGCTTATCCGGGCTGATTTTCGCCCATAGTA